GAGACATTTTAGTATTCTTTGACTATTTCCCTTTTGATTATTTAATGTTTATTATTATTTTTTTTTTTATCAAAGTGTAGCAAAGTTTCACTAATATTCGTAAAAATGCAAAAAGTGCGTTCCATAATTATAGTACATCAGCCAAGCGCCATAAGTGAGAAGTTAGAAGTGCATGGTCTTATATGAATTCGCCTTGGCATGAATGGTATTTTTTCTTATAAAAAATGCATTTCACGTCAATAAAACATTCACTAAAAAACGTATACATGAAAGTATTCAAAATAGCAGCTCGGTGAGTCCAAAACGAAGACTCGATTAGTTTCTGTCAAAAATGGTTAACTTTGCACAAAACAGCGAGAGTTTGTTTCGACGAACACTTAAAAAAATTGTCTGGTTCCTTTCACAACTTTCGAAACTGTTTAATTGTACGTCTGATTTTAAGTTGATGGTCAATTTTGGTTGTTTAAACTTTCCGTATTTTAGGCTAATTTACCTAATTGTAGTTGAGTGCAAGAATAACTTTCTTCTACGTCTTAAAATTTCCACTTGCCCATTACCACGAAATATAACAGCCGCACAAATAACGATTAAGCTTTCACTTAAAGTTCATTTGTGCTACACTTATGGAATAAAAACTACTGCATCAGAACGGAGGTATCAAAATATTTTATAATGGCATTCTTTAATTGGGGCGGCATGCGTTTGTGAATAGTATGACTTAGGGATGGGTAATGGGGGGTTGAAATTCGATTTATTCCGAATTTCGAACATTGCCCAAGCTTTCGATTATTCGATTCGAATTTCGGAGGTGCAAATTCGATTTAATTCGAACTTTATCGAATTTTCAAAAAAAAATATACATATTTTACTGAAAATTTAAAAGTTTGTTTATAAGAATGATAACACAAATCAAAATTGAAACTAATTTTTTGGCAGGTATTACGTGATTTTATTTATTTTTCTTGCTTTATCATACGTACGTTTATAACTACTTATACAACAATTAATAAAAAAGTCTTACCTTTAATGGCAACGTCTTATTTGCTTTTTAAAGCGAGATCTTTAAGTAAACAAGGAACAAAATAGATATTAGGGCATGAAGAGTTCTATCGAGCCACACTTTTGGTTTTTCCATAGCTAAATGGCTGGAATTTTTGACTTATGCCAAAAAATTCACTTCACATTTGTCATCAGTGATGAAAAAGGGAATGTCAATCAGCTGATACCAAAATTTGACGACAGTCTTTGACATGCACTGCGATATCTACATTTGGCCAGTTTTTATGACGTATTTGACACCAAGTGAACAGCTGTTAGTTAAGGCAGTTTTTGATGTCAGTAATTTTGATATAATGCAAACCAAGCATTAGATAAAGTTTTATGATCATAAAACATCTGAAAACTTATTATTTTTTTGTGAATTCATTTGTATAGCTGGGATGTGTAACTATTTAAAGCAATAAATTTATTTTTATGACATTACTTATTTCACTTTTGGAGGGTGAATCAATTCCAAAGTGAATTAATGTCAACTGGCATTATTTCACTTTTGGCCTGTTTATTAATGTCATTGACATTATTGTACGTCACCACATATATGGAAGTGCAATTGTTCCATTTTCTTGTATATTTTTAATTCAATCGCTGCATCGAAAATATTGAATTTTATATATGATGCATCGGTGCAATATTTCGTTGTATCAGATCGACAAAATGTCGATGTATTTCATTGACTTGCATCCTGCATCCCTAAGGCAAAGGTGTGACACCCCATACACAATGATGCCAAATTTGGTCAGAAAGAAGATAGTTACAGAGTTGCTTTTTTTGCAAGTTAAAACGAAATTCGTTTTCTTCTAGAAAAATTCGATTTTATTCGAATTTTAGCACCACAAAGTTCGATTTAAAAAATTCGCCATGTTGGCGCTAAAATTCGACTAAAATTCGAATCTCGAAGCTCCGAATATCGAATTTACCCATCCCTAGTATGACTAGAAGAGGTGAGTTTGGATTTATACGGTATTTAACTCGGTTTTTATGGCGATGTAAGGGCAGCTTAGCTGATGTGCTAAAATTACAAAACGCAGTATACTATATACATATATATATACATCTATGTATAAACGTATGCAAATATGTATATACCACAATATATATTCATCTATACTTATATATTTCATATCGCAATTAGCGAATGTTTGTTCTTTTGTTGTTGGTGTTGCTTACAACACCGTCATTCATCATCAAATTATCATGCGATATTTAAATGTTAACCTGAAATATGACACGTTGTTGATAACTGGAAATAATACATATGTATGTGTGTGTGTATGCATTTAGTACATAGGTCTTACAATTTATAGTTAAATTTTTAAATGATTTTTTTCAAAAGAAAATCGCTATGGGCAAATTATTTTAGTAGCATTTCCTTAAAAAGCCGCTGTAAAAGTTTGTAACTTCGAGTTTCCCTTTTTTATTTACACATTGCCAGTTAGCTGAAAGGACGTCGTAATAAAAAAAAAATAATAATTAAATTAAAATGTTATTCAGAAGTTTTTTTTTTTTTGGAAATGGAACATAAACCATATATGGACTACACATAGACAGTGTTCTTCTGCTTAGAAACGATAAATTGGTTTATTTTGTAAAGGTATGTTTACATTTAAATATAATCTTAATCAAAGCTCGCTTTTTAATCACACCGTTTACACAGGCAAATCTCAGTTTATTAGCCGTGAAATTTGTTGTGCTTGTTATTCTTACATCTTAAGGAAAAGTTATGTTTCTTCTCTGTGACACTGTGATCGCTTTTTTTACTAAATTAAGCAATTTAAATATATTATAACTTAATATTTTATTAAAAATACCTTTACAAACCTCTCTTTTTCGTAAAAATAATCGATTAAACTACGTCGAAAAGTTATCGGTTTAATCTGAGATTATTTTATAATTTCGGATTAAACAGGGACGAATTTTGTATGGCTAATCTTCTTTTCTAATTGCACATTAGAGAGTTAAGCTAGAAAATGAGGATAATCTACTTATATGTAAACTTAGTATTACACGTGGTTAAGGTAGTTTTTACCGAACTTTGCAAGTATTACATCAGCTAAGTGTTCAGCGCGAAGTATGTATCTAAATAATTAATAGCTGGGCAAAATCGTTTTTCAGCCAACTGATTAGCAGGTGTTTGAAAAAGGTATGTATTTAAATTTTATAATTAGTGGTCTTTCATCGACTGTCTTTTGTTTGTTTCGTCAATACTTCTTTAACAATAATTTAATTATTCATTAATTGGTTTTTGTATTTTAAACCATGTCCCACCACCGAATGGTTACTCAGCGTAATAAAGTCCTCATTGACTTTTGTGCTTCTGGTTTTATTGACTGTAGTGAGTAACTTATTTTAACTTTCCCGCAGTTGGTTGAGCAGTCATAAATACAAGTATATATATTTTCCAGCTGGCAGGTGTAAAAGTTATAACTCCACTTAAATTTTTAGAAAAAAAGTCGTTTGTATTTTGATAAAGTATTCAAAACATATGCAATCTATTCTTTGTGTTCTATTTATAAATTGCTCTTAAGTTGTTATGTGATGCTATTATAAGTGCTGTAACTTACATCCAAGCACACATTTTTTTAATTAAACAAAATAAAAAAGTATGAAAAAATGGACTTATTATTTTTATACCTATCACAAAAATCTGGTGGATTGTATGTATGTACCTATATATGAAAATATTTTATGTTTCGGCTGATAAAATACTTTTTTGGATAGCTTCCCTTTATTACCAAAGTCAAAAGTCCGAACAATTCGAATATGT